TTGTGATTGTAGTAATTGTGGAAAAGTTAGTTTTTAATTCTTACATTTTATTTTATTTTACGTAATATATGTGTGTATATATGTATGCTAGGAAGCTATCAAGCTCGTTGTTTTGAAGCGACTTTTGCTTGTCAAAGTTTCCTTTGATTGAGTGTTTCAATTTAGTATTTGGGTAGGTTAAGTAGAGTAGCCAAGAGCTAGACTTCGCCTGCGTAGAGGTCACATTATGTTGTAGTGTATATAATGTGCCTAATAAAGACATTTTATTATTATTATTATTATTATTATTCATTAGCGAATTAAATCAACAAGAAATATCCTGAAACTATCGACAGAAATATAAAATAATACACATTAAAAAATATGCCGAACTGCGAGTAGTGACAAGCGAATAAAAGTTACATAGAATTATCTTATATTTTATATTATTTCAAACATTATTTTTTGTTTCATTTTTTTCTAGAGTTATACATATTCACAATATCGCAGCAATACTGATGGCGTAACGTGCGTCGAGGACGTGTATTGTTGATATAACTCCAGCGTGGACGAATTATATATTTTTTTAATCTAGTATTTATATACGAAACACGGCAACAATGGATGCTGCTGTCGAGCAAGCCTATGTACGTTATAATTTAGGTTTCGTTCACGAAATTATAAAAATTGACTCACCTCATTTAACCCATTTGTATTCCATGGTTTGTTCTTATTCACTCTGTCATAGTATTCACTTAGTTTCTTGTAAAACAATTCTGAATGCTGCGACATATTTACAAACACAGGAAAGACGATGTGTATACTCAAGCAAATATACACAAAACTGGTACAATTAATGACTAAATCAGGTAAATGCAGTAACGAAGTTAATGTGGTTGTTACAGTGTTCGACTAGAATTGTTCAGTCATTACAGGGAATGACTGAAATGGTTGGTCAAACGTTGTAATAATCGGCAATATGGGGACTGACTAGGCATTGCAGGGAATGACCAATTTCAGCGCTTGATATGAATATATATATGAATATAATATACCTAAATACCTTTAGAAAAGGAATTCATACTTTTTTGCTCCATAAACAAAACTAAATTCCTTGTTTTTACATTATCCGCAATGAACACAATACAAGTCTGAATATAAGCACTTTTTTATGAGGGACAAAAATTGGTAGACAAATTCTTTTCAACATTAGTTCAGTTTCGTGTCACAAGAGGAATAGTTTGTGTTCATCAACTATTGTGGAATAAGTTGAGTGATTTTAAGACCATGCCGCGTGGTCCAGAAATTTCTTTCGATGTGAAAAATAAGATCATTGAGCTATACAAAGATGGCCGACGTCAAGTCGACATTGCCAAACATTTGAAGCTGAAGCGTAAAGCAGTTTGGGCAATATTGAACGAATATAAACAAAAATGTATCTTGGAAGCCTCTAAGAGAAGTGGTCCGGCCTAGAAAACTAAATGCTAGATCATTTAGATTAATACATGTAATTTCGTCCAAAGAAACACCAAGACAAATAAAAGCCGAAATCGTGTCAAAAGGAATTGTCAGTGTTTCTACGAAAACTATAAGTAGAAGATTAAATTATTTGAAGTTATTTGCACGTAGACCGAGTAAGAAGCCGCTAATCTCCAGGAAAAACCGTAAGGACCGATTTGCACGGTTGCATCTTGATTGGTGCATCTGTGACTGGAAGAGGGTATGTTTTAGTGACGAATCCAAGTTCAATGTGTTTGGATCAGATGGTGTTCATTACGTTAGACGTCCTAGTGGACAAAGATTGAATCCTAAGTACACTTTGCAAACTGTTAAACATGGAGGCGGATCTGTCATGGTTTGGAGGTGCTTTTCGGCGTTTGGGATGGGACCTTTACATAGAATAGATGGCATTATGGATAAGTTTGTAAACCTAGACGTCATGTTACGCTATATGGAAGACAATATGCCCTTAAGATCAATCTTACAGCAAGATAATAACCCGAAGCACACTTCAAATGTCGCAAAGAAATTCTTTCTAGATGAAAAAATATCAGTTCTCAAATGGCATTCACAGTCTGCCCCCATTGAAAATCTATGGGAATACTCAGATAAGCAAATACGAGATAAAAATTACAAATTTTATAAAGGTGATTTGTGGTCAGTTAGAATAAATGACTCAATTTTGAAAATACCCTGTATAAAATCGGACCAAAATCATCCGATGGAAGAAAAAAGTTTTGAAATGTTCGTCAGTGTAATCTATGGTAACTCGAATTTACACATTTTCACCACCAAGCCGCAAAATTAGCCGATTCGGTTTTACAGCACATGCTGGTGTGCAGTATGGAGTGAGTAATTCGTATTCTGGACAGTCCGCGGGGTGTCCTCGGATACATACAAATGCCCTGGAAGCCGCAGTGGCCGTGAACGGCGATATAATCGTAGGTATACGGGTAGCGGCGACACCTTGCGCCTCGAGCGCTTTGTATTCAATGCGGCGACAAATGATAATCAAGGGTAACACACATCCGGAACTCTGATAACCTAACGTTCAGGTTAATCTAAAATGCCGTTTGGAGGACGAACGCTCTGTTACTTAATTTTGATTCTCAATACCGATTTCTTAGTGCTAATTCGACAGGGAAATCCTCGTATGTGAACGGAAAATATTTTGAATCGGCAGACGATATTTGCGGCTGTTAATTTTTCAACCTCAATGGAACTTCTAGAATTTATCCTATTATTGCTCCTTAAATCCATTGCGTTCTATCTGGTCAATGCCATCTTGAAAAAAACCATGGAAAATGCTCAGAAATCCTCAGAAAAGCAATATTACATTATACAGGGTGGCGCATAGAAAACGAAACGGACGCATTTACTGGCAGCTCATTTTTTTTTTTGGAAAAACGCTCAGACCCGTCGATTTTGTTTTTGAGGGGGGCACAAGTTTGGCAAAAAATCACGTTAACACGTGCAGTCCCCTGGGCGGGGGTGACACCAACCCTAAAATCTTAAATGGAAAGGGGGGTCGAGTCATACCTTATTTTAAAGGTCTTTCAATTCCCTTTATAATGATGTAAAATACATGAGCTTCAGTTCAGTAGTTTTGAAGATGTATTGATTTAAAGCTTAAAGTAGACTTTAATAGATACATCAGATTAGTTTGTACTAATTTCAGAAGAAATTTTGCTAAAAGAATTTACTAAATAAGTAAATGTTTTTCTTCACTACGCCCATTATTTTGTTTATCATTTTGTTGTTGAAAATAGCTGTTGGAGCATTTTTTGTGGCAAAAAAAATTATTTCTTGAAGAAAGATAAGAAAATATCTCGTACTTATTTTAAATAGTACATAGTTTGTGATTGATTGGACCAAACTTTGTTGCTAAAATAACTTGTAACGCTTTATTACATAAATTAACCATGGTATATTCCACAGCAGAAAGAGTTGAAATTATCGAAATATTTTTCGGAAATAATCAGTGCGCTGATAGAACAGCAGAAATATTTAATGAGCGACATGATAACAGTAACGTGCATCGACAATATGTTCTAGAACTTGTAGCTAAATTTCGGGAAACGCAACATTGAAAATCCATAAGGAACGAAGCAATAGAGGTGGGGGTTCTAGGGCAAGTTTATGTAGATCCTACGTTAAGTACCCGCAAATTGGAGGCTGTGTATGGTGTTAGTCAACGTACTGTCCAACGGATTCTAAAGGCCCATGGTTTTTATCCGTATAAAATTCACTTGGTACAAGAACTTAATTAACAGATAAAGCGCCACCGAGGACACGTGGTAATAAATCGTAATAACTCGTAATAAATCGTAATAAATCGTAATAAATCGTTATAAATCGTAATAAATCGTAATAAATCATCATAAATCGTGATAGATCGTAATAAATCGTAATAAATCGTAATAAATCGTAATAAATCGTAATAAATCGTAATAAATTGTAATAAATCGTAATAAATCGTAATAAATCGTAATAAATCGTAATAAATCGTAATAACTCGTAATAAATCGTAATAAATCGTAATAAATCGTAATAAATCGTAATAAATCGTAATAAATCGTTATAAATCGTAATAAATCGTAATAAATCATAATAAATCGTAATAAATCATAATAAATCGTGATAAATCATGATAAATCGTAATAAATTTGTGATTTGTGAACAGCCTCCTGGGCCACGGCGGACACCGGTGTCCGCTTGGGTTTCAAATTTATATCATCTCCTCCCGGCGAGACGGACACGCTTTTCTGCGGTTTGGCGTAGTAACATGTCCGCCATGGCACTGCAACATAAAACGCTGAAACCATGTTTTATGTAGCAATGTTTTCCACGGAAATCTGGTGACATTTTTATTGTAATATCAAATAAATATTTATATATTTATTTCACTTATTTATTTATCTATGGAGATAAAATAAACATTTAATAAATAAAGTATATTGAACAAAAAAGTTTTGCAAATACATATCTACCTTTATTTCGTAAAAATTTTAACGAGTTTTCTGAACGAAATTAAATCATTTCAGACAGAATCTAGAGTTATCTTCGTACTGTGCACAATAAATTATTACTTTTTTAACTTTATTTTTTTCAATAAGTCCATCTTGTTTTTTCTTGTAACAAGCCTTGCAGGTACCGTCTATTTTCCCGTGCCTTACAATCCAGTTTTAGTTATACCTGAGCTCTCAAATTCACTTTTACAGGACATGTACGGTCATAAATGTAGCCATCTTAGAATTTCAGCAATTGTTCAATAACTGCATTCTGAAAATTATTTATGGAAATGTCGCTCTGTTCGATCTCCCTGTGAATGAAATGTGCATTTACAATTGAGGTACCTAATAAAATTTCAATAGCAACTTACTTTCATAGTCGTTTTTCTCTCCAGAGCTAATTGTAATATCCTCTTTGATCGTCGATTCATTTTTATTTCAAAACATTTCACTTTACGCTCAAAACTTCAGTAAAACGGTGCAACACATCACACTCGAAGCGATAAAAAACTAATCAATAACAACCTGTATCGTCGAGTATAGATAGATCGGCTCTATCGTCGGCCATTCTGGGAAGTATCGTGTGCTCGTTCTTAACATTTTCGGAGGGCCATGGCGGACACCGGTGCCCTCTTTTTTTTCATCTATGAGAAAAAAAATAAAATATCGAGGATTTGGGGTTAACTAGATGTAAATTTAAAAAATTTATTAAAATATCACGTTGGTCCCGGGACATATTTTGGTGGAAAGTCCTTGGCGCTTAACCTGTTAAGACGATTTTGATCGGCGATTACAATTTTGTGAAGATATGAGTGAACAAATGTTCCTTTTTCTTAGATGGCGTAGTAAATCGTCATAACTGCCGACATTGGTCCGATTCTAATCCCAGAATTCATCATGAGGTTCATACACAGCAGCCACAAAAACTGAATGTTTGGGCTGGTATATTTGGCGATCATTTAGTTGGTCCTTTTTGCTTACCTGAAAATTTGACCGGTGAAATGTATTTGGAATTACTGGAAGACGCCATAGATCCTGCATTAACAGCCATAATTGAAATCAGAATGATCGGCGGTACATTGCGAATAGGTTGATGTTCCAACAGGATGGTGCTCCACCACATTACGCATTACGTGTTCGACAACATTTAGATCAGACGTTTCCAGATCGATGGATAGATAGAAGAGGTGCCATTGAATGGCCCCCAAGATCGCCAGATTTATTACCTTTGGATTTCTTTATGTGGGGTCATTTAAAAAGCAAAATCTATGCTAATCAGCCAACATCATTAAAAGACCCGCGACAAAGAATTGTGAATGAGTGCGTTCAAATTACTCCACAAACGTTGCAAAATGTGTTTCGTTTTTCTATCTTCAATAATAAAACAGTTATAGGGTGAGCCACCTCGGAGAATCACCCGGTATATCTAGCGCAACGACATAGCGAATACTAAAGATCTGTCCATACGCGACATGATCCATTTAATCCGCTTTATTTTATATCCTGATTATCCGTGGAAACGTTGAAAGGGAGCGGTATATTAATTATTCAAAACGTTGCTCTTGTATGTTTTAGGGCACTTTGTTTGATCACATTTGAAACACACACTCTCAAAGCTCATTTGTCCCGGCAACATTGTAACTAATTAAATTCAAGGCCTTTGAGCGAATCGAAGTCGGGACGTAACATGGAGATCCATTAGACCAGAGCTCTATTATTGGAATTTCGAACAAATTTATAATTCAGAAGTTCATTCCGGCTGGTTAAACAAATCCCGATAAATCTATTTTTAACCAACTCCGCTAACGAGAATACAATGTCAGTCTGTGACAATTTATGTTGGAGGGCTGATGAAATTTTTGTTTACGGATGCACGCAGACCGAAACGCTCTATTTTGAAAAAAGTGTTTTACGGCCAATTTCACCAACGTTAATATCTAACGGTCCCTTGCACCAATAGGAAAAGACCTTAACGAAATGCAGTTTGACAGAAGCGGTCAAAGCTCTCTTAATATCAGTGATTTCTATTGAAATGTTGAATAAACTGGTGAAAAAACGGTTGCCTTATAAATAAGAGTACATTATAGGTCGATTTTCTAGCTATTATATGTATTTGGTAGGATATTTTCACTGTTTTTGAGGACTGTTCATGCATGGCAATCTAGTTTTGTCTGTATATCACGTACAGGGTATTGTACATAATACGTACCTGTAGAAATGTACCGATTTTTGTTATTTTGCAAAAAAAGTGATATAAAACGTATTCCAACTGGTTCATCATCTTTTGTTACATCAAAAACAATTTTTGCCAATTTATGATCTACAAATCCACACCAAATGTAAACAAACAGCACATTATGCATTTCTGGGTCCTAAAACATCGATACTTGTAAAAGTATCCGTATCCACCTATTATTCGTCGTCTATATAATAAATCAGAATCAAAAATACCGATTTATGAAAATATATCACCAAAAATTGTTATATTTTCTTATTATTTCTATTATTATAACACGTCTGGGATATCAATTGCTTTTAAAGGAATCTGCAGTGTTGCCGAACCAGAAAAAAAAACGGAATCGTTAAATAGTGTCGTGTGGTTCACATTATCGAAATGTTTACATTAGCGAACGTGATTTATATAATATTTGATTTATTAAAAGAAACGTTTAATACATACTATTTATAACAAAATAAACAAATATTCTAACAGCGATAAGTATTTTTTTAATTAGAAGAAAAATAATTAACAATTTTTGTCCGCGTAAATTTGCGCTTAGCATTGTCTTCCAATGCCTGCGCCCGTAATTTACGAAGAACTAAAATAACCGTGTACGAAACTTCTTTTCTTTCAGCCCAATCTAAAGCTTGGTTAAAAACTTGTATAGCTTGCGCGTCAGTCACTACACTTCTGACTTCAATGGGATCGTTCTCATCATCCTCACTGTCCATATCATCCTCCTTATCAGCATCATTCGTCTGCTTATCTTCATTCCATAAATTAATATCAGCAGGAGTACAAACAATATTGGGATTCACTGTTTTCAATAAATCAACAACATCCAATGACACACTAATAACATTATCATTATTGGATCGCAAACGTTCTCTAATTACGCTTAAGGGGTCATCGTCTTCTTCATCATCTTCATTATTGGTACAAAAGAGATTTTTCCAACATTTTTAAATAGTTTGCTGGTTAAATTCATTCCAGGCCATATGTAAATTTAAAACAGCTTCTCGTAATGTTACTTTTTTAAAGCCTCAGATAAGTTTTCAGGATTCTTTGATAAGACAGACGAAAGTAGAAACTTCCTATAGTATAGTTTGGTGAGTCTTATTATATTCTGGTCCATCGGTTGAATTAACGGTGTTACGTTGGGCGGCATCTACATGACGAAAACTGACCCATCCCTGCTCCTCAGTTGTTGCTCGGGAGGATGACTTGGTGCATTATCCAATAGTAACAACGCTTTTATTGGAAGCTTCTATTGTTTTAGGAAACCTTTTACCTACAAATTGAAAACACATCTTCAAATTATGAATAGAGCATTTGTGATAATTGATTGTCATACCTGAGGGACAAAGCACCTGTGGAACCGTTTCAGGAATATACTGCTAGTCATCCAAGCGGTTTTTGAACAGTCATAATCAACAGGGATATTAACATTTTTAAATGAGCGCGGATTTTTTGCTTTCCCAATTACCAGTGGCTTTATTTTGTGTGAACCATTAGCATTAGTGCAGGCTAAAAACGTTATTCGTTGTTTCTCTGGCTTTCTTCCCGGGGCAGATTTTTCAAATGATGCAGCATAGGTTTTCTCTGGTAACATTTTCCAATAAAGGCCACTTTCATCTGCGTTGTAAATTTGTTCCATTCTTAAATCTAGCTCGGTAATTGTTTTCATCAATTTTTCTTTGAATGGTTGCACTAATTGTGGTTGTGCTGATAATTTTTCACCAGATATAGACAGCAGTCGAATTGCATATCTTGTTTTGAATAGTTGTAGCCAGCCATCACTAGCTACGAAATTTTCAGTTTCTTCCAGTTTTTCATTTAACAGTCTCGCTCTCTGTTTAAGTACTTCGCCACTAACTGGGACATGATTTTCCCGTTGTTTTAAAAACCACTTATACAGGGAATTTTCCATTTTAGGTGCCTTCGCATTTTTTAAAGTTTTTCTTTTTCCCGGACCTCCAAATGTATTGCACGTTCTTTGTAAAATTTGAGTTTTCATACGCTTAATTTTACAGATTGTTGCTTTCGATACTCCATATTTTTTTGCTAACTGTGTCACTCTCGCACCTAGTGTAACTTCGTCTATGATTTTCACTTTCTCACTCAACTTTAAACACTTTCTTTTATGGGATGTGGATGCCATAGTCGTAAAATATATTAACGCGTGCAATGTATTCACTTAAGTTCAAAAATGAAATACATACGTACGTATAAACGTATCCTAAACGATCATACGACTGACCGAGTTTGTCGTATTTTATAGCAGAGGTGAATCTCCTCACTCTACATCATAAATCGGGGACTCCCTGACGCCCGACATAAATGATCGAGGCTTCAGCATTTTACCGTCGCGCTGTTTCCGTGCGCCGAGGGTTGTTTACGTTATCGAGCGTACACATTGTTTACGTTATCGCGCGTTCCGTTTGATCCTATAGAACGAAGTTTGTGTTTACATTAGCGCAAGTTTTCACTATCCCGTGTTTACGTTATCGAGCGTCTGCTGTATTCCCTTTTCGGTAAAAATACCGAAAAATCCGGTTCAAGTCCATGCATAGACAATCCGAAATTTACAATATGAATTTATATTCTGCATATCCATTCATATTCGTCAATATTTCATTTGAAGCTTTTATTTGTCATAAGATTTTAGCAAAATGTAAGATAGTAAAGGCAACACCGCACCCTGCAGCCCAGTTGACAAGAATGGCATGCTGTCAAGATTAGAGATGTTTAGATCCACGAAAAGTATCGTTATGTATCGATTCTTATCGTTTTAGGAAGTATCGACACTCTGAAATATTGGAATAAAATTATCGATATCCAGCGGAAGGAAACAAAGAAGAAAAGTAATCTGAAGTCAGTCACTCTTTCTGAGACAGTCTGGATCGATACTCGTGAAATGTATCGATACACTCAAGTGTCGTATATAAAAATATCGATCCAAAATATTGGGTATGGGAAGCAGAAGTATCGATACTTCTAAATATAGGATCGTATCGAACATCCCTACTGTCAAGATGTATAACCCGAGGTACCGACGCAGCTATTTTGGGGCGTCATGGAAATAATTTTAAAATTTCATTCGAATTTTTTCAAGTGTTGTGCAACGATTTTGGGAAAAATTCCACGAATAGTCTTATAAAGCATAGTAGAGTATGTTTCAACAGTTGGCGGAGCGTACTCCACCGGGACCAAGGAAGTGAAACGGGATATTAATGCACAATCTAGCAACCATGTCACACCCTCAGAAAATGGCCGCTGAGAATCACACAAGTCACCGTGTTGCCATTGGAATTGAACCTTCTTCAATGTATATGTTTTGTGACTGGAACCAAGGGTTGATCCCACACATGTGTCACTCGATGAGTCTTGAAATGCAATAATCAGCTGTATTCAAATAATGTC